TGGTTTTTCTCCTGATCCCAACTGATTTGAGGAATGTTGGCCATGGTTGAGCTCTTGCGTTAACTTGGAGAGAAGTTGGGTCTTCAGAAACGTGTCTCTATACCTAGAGATAGATGCCAGAGCAAGGGAGAAGGTTTTCTGAGGACTTTCCTTAAAAATATACCCACCCAGTTTCTAATCCAGATTGGAGTTGTTCTTCTCAGCTCAACCATGATGGAGAACATGGCGTATGGTTCATTTAGTGGTCTTCTTTAAGTGTCAACTTGTGTCAATTTTAAGACTTGTGGACTTCAGCTCCCGGATTTTCCCCAGCAGTGGCTGGTTGGAGAATTCTGGAAGTTGGAATCAACAAGTCTTAAATAGTTACCAACTTTGGAGATCCCTGGATTAAATTGTTCTTCCTGAGATGAGGAGATGAGGACTCCACAACATGTGGTGGACCTCAAGCAGAATCTGGGAGTTGTGTCTTTCTAAAATCAAAGGAAATGTGTTTTGCCTGAATCTGGAAGCTTCATTGCTCCGGGAATGTCGTGTGTGAAGGCTTTCAGTCCCAGCCATACGTGTTGCCTTGCCACCCTTGATCTCCTGAACGTTGCTTGACCGTTAGGAGTTGTCCAGGTGGTGGAACATCAACTGTCATTGCACGTGAAGTTCTGGGAGAACCTCGTGGATCCTCTCTTGCTTCCTGCAGCCTGCCTTTGTCTTGTCACTCTCACAGTTGTCTTAACTTGGCCCAAAGTCAGAAGATATTAAGATCTCATCGCTGGGCTGCTTAAGTCAACCTCTTCTTCTTTTCACTTGATGTGACTTCAGGGCTCTTCAGCCAACAGTTGTCATCCTCCTTTCTCCTTAATGACAGGTTAGGAACCAACCCAACTGGAAGTATCTCTTAGGTTACCGTGACCTACTAACAGTTTTAATTGCACGCTGCTCCACCCAAGGAGTCCTGGAGGTTGAAGGCCTTCTCACAATTTCCACCAACTCCTCCAAAAGTGACTTGAGTTGCCAGAGGAGATTTTATTTTCATCCAAGCTTTCTCTCTCTTGAACTCTCCTGGGTGGGTTAGCAAGCATGTTGAGAACCAGCTTTTGAATTTTTCTGACATGGAGAACGGTTGATCATTGACGTAGTTTGAGGTAGTTATGGACGCTACATCACTGGAGGTTTTCAAGGAAAGATCAGTGGGCTTCAGCCTATGACCACAATTGAACCCAGAATTTCTGCTGCTAAGCCAGACAGATGCTAAATGGCTTTTTGCCTGATTTTACGACCTTTCTTGCCGAAGTTGTTAAGTAAATCAGTGCAGTTGTTAAGTTAGTTACACTTTTGGCTTTGCTTGTCAGAAACTGGCTGGAAAGGTTGCCAGATGCCAAGGGATGTACGCAAAGAAGGGAGGAGGGTGGGGGGAAGGAAGGAAAAGAAAGAAAGATTTAAGAAGAAAGAAAGAGAAAGAAAGAAGAAAGAAAGACTTAAGAAAGAAAATAAAACAAACGAAGAAAGAAAGATTGATTTAAGGAAAAAGAAAGATTTCAGAAATGAAAGAGAGAGAGAGAAAGAAAACATTGATTTAAGGAGAAAGAAAGATTNCTTCTCCTTCTCCTTCTCCTTCTCCTTCTCCTTCTTCTCTTCCTCCTCCTCCTCATCTCCCTCCCCCTCCCTCTCCACATCTCCTCTTCTTTCTGCTCCTCCTCCTCCTCTCCACAAACCCTACTCCCTTCTAGCACTGATGATGTTAACCTGATTGGATCATGAAGTCTGCAAGATAAAAGGCAAACTCAGGGAACCAAAGACCCCACAATCCTCCTCCTCTTAGCCTCTCCCTGTTTTCCTCTTCCTGTCTGCAAACCCCTCATCCTTCGAGCACTGATGATGTTCCCTAGTTGGGTCATGAAATGTCTGCAAGAAAACCACCAAGCTCAGAGAGCAAAGACTCCAGAGTCCTCGTCATCCTCCTCCTCTTCCTGTCTGCAAACCCTCGTCCTTCCAGCACTGATGGTGTTACCTCCTTGGGTCATGAAACACTTAAGCTCAGAGAGCCCCCAGGAGCCCCCAGTTAACAGCTACGAATATAGCCTGCTACTAAACCTGCCTTTCAGATTAAAGGAGGCAGCAATTAAAGTTTGGAAAGCACCTTCCGATTCCTCCATGAAGCCTCTCCGTCGGATATTATGAAACGGCGGGCCAAAAACGCCTGGGCAAATGAAGAGGGAAGGGGGTGGTGGTGGTGGAAATCTCTTCTTAATTGGGAGGCCAAACATTTGGGTTGAGGTTTCAAGCGTTTTGCAAAGGTTACGTGAGTGCCTTTGTCTGTCGGTGAGGCTGGGACACATGTGGAGGCAAAGAAAATGGACATAAAATGGAACTTTTTTGGCCCACGTGACACATTCAGATTCCGACTGGCAGCCGGGGTCTCTCCCACCTTGTGAAATGACATACCGGAGTTCAGAAAACTCCACTTTGCTCATCTGCCCCGTTGTGACTGGGGACGGTTCTTATCTGGCCTTCCAGAGAAAGAGGGGGGCGGGAGTGGCTGCCCTGTTGTGCTTCCATTGTGCATTTGGGGGGGGGGGGATCTGGGCCATGGGTGTGTACCTGCCGAGGCTTTTCGCTTCGCCTCCCTGAAAATCAAAAGTCGAACCTGGCAGAGGAGTTTGATTTCTGCTAGGGAGGGAGGGAGGGAGAAAGCAGGGACCCTCTTGCATTTCCCCCCTCGGGCGAAAATGACATTGAATGCAAACTCTGGAATTTGTCAGGAGGAGAAGGCTTCCTTTGAAGAGCTTCTCCAGGGCTCTGCAGGAGGGAGGGAGGGAGGGAAGGAAGGAAGGAAAATGAGAGAAGGAAGGAAGGAAGATGAGGGAAGGAAGGAAGGAAGATGAGAGAAGGAAGGAAAAGAAAGTTGCGAGAGGGGGAGAAGGAAGGAGTAGGAAAGAAGGAAGGAAAAGAAAGAAGGAAGATGAGGGAAGGAAGGAAGATGAGAAGGAAGGAAAAGAAAGAAGAAAGATGAAGGAAGGAAGATGAGAAGAAAGATGAGGGAGAGGAGGAAGGAAGATGAGGGAAGGAAGGAAGATGAGAAGGAAGGAGAAGGAAAGGAAGGAAAAGAAAGAAGGAAGATGAGGGAAGGAAGGAAGATGAGAAGATGAGGGAGAGGAGGAAGGAAGATGAGAGAAGGAAAGGGAAGGAAGGAGAGGAGAGGGAGGGAGGAAGGGGAGAGAAGGGAGGAAGGAAAAAGAAAGAGGAAGAAAGGAAAGAGGAAGGAAGGAAGAAAAAGGGAAATAAGGAAGAGGAAGGAAGATGAGAAGGAAGGAGAAGGAAAGAAGGAAGGAAAAGAAAGAAGGAAGATGAGGGAAGGAGAAGGAAGGAAGGAGAGGAGAGGGAGGGAGGAAAGGGGAGGGGAGGAAGGAAGGAAAAAGAAATAGGAAGAAAGGAAAGAGGAAGGAAGGAAGAAAAAAGAAATAAGGAAGGGGAAGGAAGGAAGAAGGGAGAAAAGAAAGGAAGGAGAGGGAAAGGGAAGGAAAGAAGGAAAGGAAAGGAAAAATCGGTGTAGGTCTGTAGCTGAGATGACCTTGGAGTTTCTGAAGTTCTCTTGTAATACACTGACAAACATAGAATCATAGGACTGGAAGGGACCTGGAAGGTCTTCTAGTCTGACCCCCTGCTCAAGGCAGGAGACCTTATACCTGGGGTCTCCAAACTAGGCAACTGTAAGGCTTGTGGGGCCAAACTCCCAGAATTCCTCAGCTAGCATGGCTGGCTGGGGCAGGAGTCTTTAAAGATGCCAAGTTTGGAGATCCCTGCCTTAAGGTTGGCGAGGTGACCCCTGGGCGCCTGGCGTGGCCTTGGTAAGACTTGACCAGCTGAACTGCCCATTTGGGAAATGTGTTTTTCCTCGAGGAAATTGGAGGAGGGGGAGACCTTTCTTTTTTCTTCTAACGTTTTTATTTGTGTTTCTCATACACACTTTCACAAACATACAATCTCATTAATAATATGTTGTCTTTTAACCTTTATAGCAGTTTTTCCTCCTCCTAGTTAAAAATATAATTGAGGTTGTTTTTCTGCCCTCCCTTACACCCATCTTATTTTGCAACCACCCTCCTTCTTCTCCTTTTCTCCTTCCCTCCTTTCTTCTCTCCTTTTCCACTTTCTTCTTTCCTCCTCTCCTTTCTCTTCTCCGCTTCCCCTTCTTTCCCTCCACTCCTCCCCTCTCCTTCCCTTTCGTACCCTCTATCCTACTCTTACTTCCCCTCCGTTTCTTCCTCTCCTTTTCCCTTTCTTCTCTCCTTCTCCTTTCCACTCTCCTCTTCCTACTTCTCTCTACTCCTCTCTCCATTTCTTCCTCTCCTTTTCCCTTTCTTCTTTCCCTCTCCTTTCTCCTCTCCTCTTTCTACCTTTCTTTCTACTCCTCTCTCCATTTCTTTCTCTCCTTTTCTCTTTCTTCTTTCCCTCTCCTTTCTCCTCTCCTCTTCCTACCTTTCTCTCTACTCCTCTCTCCATTTCTTCCTCTCCTTTTCCCTTTCTTCTCTCCTTCTCCTTTCCACTCTCCTCCTCCCACTCCTCTTCCTTCTCTTCCTCCTTCTCCTCTTTTTCCTCCCTCCCCCTCTCTTCCTCCTCTTCTCCAAAACGCCCTCTCCCTTCTACCATAAACGATGTTGGCTAGTTAGTTAATGAAATGTTGGCAAGAAAACCACCAAGCACAGAGAGTCCTTCTCTCCCCCCTGCTTCCTCCTCCTCCTGATAATGATACCTAGTTGGGTCATGAAACGCCTGTAAGGAAACCACCAAGCTCAGAGAGCACCCAGTGCCCCCCCCCCCCCGTTCAGTTCTCTTCCGTCGGTGCCGCCTTTATCGGATGCTATAACCCCCTTTGCATGTCCCAGGTGGTTCCTTGGCTTAAACAGAAAGTCCTCGTCAGTGATTTGCACCCGTGCCCCATCGAGTAACCGCCGTCTCTCTTCCTCTCCTTCCAGCCACAGTACACCAACCTGGGGCTCCTGAACAGCATGGACCAGCAGATCCAAAACGGTTCTTCCTCCACCAGCCCGTACAACACGGAGCATGCCCAGAACAGTGTCACGGCCCCCTCCCCTTACGCCCAGCCCAGCTCCACCTTCGACGCCCTCTCCCCGTCTCCGGCCATCCCCTCCAACACAGACTACCCGGGGCCCCACAGCTTCGACGTCTCATTTCAACAGTCCAGCACCGCGAAGTCGGCCACGTGGACGGTGAGTCAACACTCGGGGAAGGGCTGGGTCCGGTTGGGCCGGTGGGTCCCAAGAAGGGAGACGGGGAGGCCAGCTGGATTTGGCATGGGGGAGGTCCTCTTACGCACGGGTTGTTTCGCCCTGTCAGACATTGTGGGCATGTAGTTTTCTTCTGGTGGGTTTTCTAGATGATTGTTTTCCCTTTGTCTGTTTGCCTGGGGGTATTCCCTGCTTATTCATGGAAGAGGTTACCTAGTTGGGTCATGAAATCAAACTCAGGTTCCCACAGTCCTCCTCCTCCTCCTCCT